GTAAGTATATACGGAACAATCGCTCGTTGAAAATTTTATTGATGAAAATGTGAGATATATCGAGGCAAGATCTTGGTTGGACTAAATCTTTGGGTTTTCTTATTTTCTTATGCTTCCTATTTGTTTTTCAACGTTCTTATTTCATTTGTATGCTTTTGTGTTTTAGCAAAGAATGTTACATTCATTGTGTCAGTTTGTGATCGCTTGGCAAATGCACAAAGTTAATGCTTTTAAATAAATATAAATTTAAGAATCTCAATTAGGAATGTTTGTGAGATAATTAGAACAAGACGGCCTTTCTGTCTCGTCTATCTTTCCTATTCTAATAATATCTTATCATGTTATGAACGAGACCCGGACATCTCTTTTTTTTTTTTTTAATTTCAAAACCAAACATATTTGGGATGTAAGAATTACGGTAAAAATTCTACAAAAAAAATATTAAAAATTCGCTCAAAAAATAAAGTAATCAAAAATTTGCAAAGAAAAAGGTTTTTTTTAAATGACAGAAAATATATCAATTCAAAATATCTACTAAAAAAACATTATATAAGCTATACAAAAAATTTGCAAATTGTAGAAGAAGCAAAACAATACTCCTCCTCTAGTATTTAATATGAGGCCTATTTAACTAATTTGATTATATTAATAAAGTTAGGTAAGTTAGTTAATTATAAGAAATATGATAATTTTTTCTAAAACTTATAATCATTTTTCTTAATATCCTCCCTTCCTCCTCATTTACTTGATTATGGTTGAGAGAGTATGATAATTTAGGAAAAGTGGATAAATATGAGAAATATGTCTTATATTTAAGATCAAAATTAATTTAACAATTAAGTCCTATATTAAGGATTAGAGAAGTAGAAAATAGGGATCATTAGTGGAATTGGTATTTATAATTATATACGGAATGACATGAAATGCATGGAAACGGATCAATGTTTACCTAATTAAAAATCTTGAAAAAAGTTGTGGTTTTTTATATTATTTAAATAAATATAAATTTAAAATGTCTACATTAATTTCACGCGATTTATTTTTATCTTTTGCAATCTTTTATTCTCATCTTTTTCTTATTCATTCTCGGTGACCGAATTTAATCACAGAACTGGTTTCTTTTCTTTGCTTTACTCTTTTTACCCCTCTTTTTTCATTTTCCTTACCATTCATTATAATTTTAACTGTTGAAATTCAATATTTTATAAAATCATTATTTTGAATTTATATGAAAAAAGTATAAATAAATTTAAACTACTAAAATTTAATTTGAATAATTCATAACTAAAGTAAAAAAGAGAAAAAATAAATTAATTAAAATAAAAGAGAGAAGCCAATTCCAATAGTTACATGGCAGACACAGTTTATGTTTCCTCCATCATCAGCACCACTCTTTCCTCCCTCCTCCATCGCAAGAACAAAAGATAGCCATAATATAAGAATTAATTGAAAATTTGATTTAGTTCTTAATATAATACTCTAATATATTTGTCTCCCATATTCATTTATTTTTCTCCCAAATAGTCTTTATGGAAATTACACATGTCAAAAGGTTTTTATTCTAATGTATATGATTAACAAAAATATTTTGAAGAAGACAATACACATTTATTATAAATAACTAATTAAACTAATTTTTTAATATTTATAAATTAGTTATCTAGTTCTTATATTAAGGAGTGAAAGTAGTAATTAAAAGAAGTAAAACAGAAAATATAGGAATGGCTGTTAATGAATAAGTAAAGGATTGAGTTCAAATATTGCCATGGTGCCTGAACATAGACATCTTTCATAAGCTCTACAACGTGCATGCCTTTGAAATATTAGAATGGAAGTCCAAAAATTCAAGACGCCTTCACCATTAACCTAATCAATTGTAATATAGTATATTCGATTCTAAATATAAAAATTAAATAAAGGGTTTATTTAATTTTTAATATAAGACCTCAACAATCCACTTTTTCTTCTAAATTTATAATTTTTCTCATCAATATTCCTATTAATTACATGTGGTAGGGAAATTTTTATTAATGACAGCTATAATGCACATAATTAAAAAAGTATTATAAAAAAATCAACTTGTAAAGCTGCTTTTTCTTCTAAATTTATAATTTTTCTTATAAATATTCTTATTAATTACATATAGTAATGAAATTTTCTTAAATGGGAGCTATAATGCACATAGTTAAAAAAGGGTATTGTGAAAAAAAAATTAACATGTATTTGTTATAAATAACTAAATTAATTTTCTTAATTTACTTAACTTAGATGAATAATTCTTATATTAAAAATAAGAGATAATATACTTGCATATCATACAGACTACTCTAGAAAGAAATCTCATTAACCTTTATGTATAACCAACAAGGGAGCACTATGGGCAATAGATAGCCTCCTCATAGATATCTAACCGATGACAATCCAATCATGGACCTTAAAACAGCTAATATGGGCCCTTTGATTATGGAGCCATAACGAATTATCTAACTCTTGTTGTTATTGTTGAACTCTCCAATCAAGATTTAAATTCTTATTAAGAGAGATATTCACATTTAATACCTAATAATATTTTAAATAAAATTGCTTCCAATAAAAAAGATATATATGCTTTAGCAAAACAAAAAACAAAAAAAACTCTCCCTGCTGAAGCCAATCGCCTCCCTCGAGTAGAGATATTCATCATTGTCTAATAATGGAAAATAGTGGCTTAGATTGTACGAACCTCTCTCTTAAATTTGCCACAAATCCTTGCAAAAGGGGAGGTGAACCATGTTTCATCGATACAAATTATGGCATGGACAATAAAATATACTATCTCATGATTTTAATATAAAAGCTAATTGAAAGTTGAATTTGATCTTAAATATAATATCTCAATCTATTTTGTCTTCAAAATTTATAATTTTTTAAAAAAATATTCCTATTACTTCTAAGAAATTCCTACAAAATTAAAATGTACTTCCAATACACATCATTAAAAATGACGTTTAAGAAATCTAGCATATATTTGTTAGAAATAGCCAATTCAACTAAATCCCTAATAAATTTAATAAAATAAAAATATAAAATATAAAAATTTTCTATTATTTATATATTTATAATTATAATAATTATTTATTTTATTTTTATTTTGAATATTTTTAATCCAATTTGAATATTAATTGATAAAATATTTATATTTATTTTTTAGAATAATTTTATAAAATATCTCCAAAGCTTAGTGGTTCTCCTGCACAACCTTCACGGATTAATGAAATGGGAGCTTGTTTATTGGACCTATTCATGTGTAAAGGTTAGCCCATATTTATTTTGGAATTCTTTTTTCGTTAAAGCATAGATATCCTCTTATTAGAAGTAATCTTATTCGAGATATTGTCAGGCATTAAATGTAAGCACCTCTCCCAGTTAGGATTCGAATATTGGCTCGTTATATTGTGAAGGACTAACCCTTTTTGTTAAACCCAATCCCGTTGGTATTTTGGATTTGTGTATTGAGCAATGTCCACGTCATTTTCACCTCATGTTACATATTGTTATGTGATGTAATTTTGTCTTGCTTTTAATAAGAAGATGCTTATGCTTATGGCTGTGGGGATTTAAGTGTCCACATTATATCATGTTTAGTTTACTCCTTTAGTTATATATCACTCTTTTGAGCTCAAATATTTCAAGTGAATATTATAATATGACGTTGATTCGCTTGTGTTTTTGTTATTGAACTAATGGCCAGATAAAGTTTTCCTAATCACCACAAGTTTAACTTAAATAGCTTAGCCGCACTTCTAGATTTTCTTTTATGCTTTGAAGGAAGACTAGATTAAAACTTAACTAACTAAAATAAAACTTAATATAAATATAAAAGACTAAATATATACTTTAACTAACTATATATACACTTATTTTTCTAATTACAAACTAAAAGCCTCCATCCATTTTCTAATTTTTTAAATTCAATATCAATCAATCAAGCCAGTATCACTTTAACTAACTATATATACACTTATTAGCCAAGCCAGTATCACTTTCATTTTCTCTCTGACTTCACTGTTCATAACAATATATAGTGATTGCTTCAATCAACAGCGTCAGCCCCTTTGTGTGGCTTTGGTGGAAACTCCACTCTTATAGATTTGGTCTCATCACAACTCTGATTTAAAGATGAGATTTTTCTTTGCCTTCTTTATTTTTCTCTACTCCACCATTTGTTTGATTCTTTACCAACAGTTTAAAGTAAAAAGATTTGGTAAAAATTAGAAGACCAAACACAATCTTAAACATTGTTTTACGGAGTGTTTGGAACCGTTTAAAAGCTTCCACAAACACCCTCTTTATTTTATCGAGAGGAGATGAAGAACCAAAAAAATTTAAGGGACATACACACATATCAAATATTAAGAGGATGGGGTTATGTTTTAAAAATAACAGGGACATCATGTGTAATTCAACCAAAAGATAATAATATTATACTATCTTGTATCTTAATTATAAAATTTCATTTATAATTTATAAACGAGTTCTTATGATTAGAATCAAATATAATAATAATATTAAAGGGTTGATAACTTAGTATAATATCTTTGCTCTCTCAAATTTGCACAAATTTTACCTTCAGTCCATCAAATTTAAAACTATTAATTTTGGGCCCCTCAAAGAATAAAATGATTCAAATTTTTATTAAATTATACTGATCGATATTTTGAATGGAAAGAAACTTAAGAAATTAAAAACTATGATTTTAAATTTGAGAGACCAAGGCTAAGATGAGGAAAAATTTGGGGGATAAAAATTGTATTAACTGCAATATACTAATATTAATATCAATTACTCCAATTTTTCTTCCATGAAATTATCCTACAAGTTATGATATTCCAAAATGGTCCTTGGGAAAACTAGAGGGTGTGAGGCGCCATGGCCCAATGCTGTGAAGCAGGCGGTAACAATCTTCTCTCTCTCTCTTTCTTTTATTCTGGTGAGTATTATATTTCTTTTATCCATGGGCCATGGCTTCTCTCTCTCACCCCACTCTTCTTCCACTCTCCTCTCTCACCGCATCTTCTTCCTCGTCCTCCTCCTCCTTCCACTGTTCCTGTTCTTCCCCATCTTCTCAGTCTCTTTGTTCCAAATTCCGATTATCCTCACTGCCTCGATTCCTCTCTAAGGGTAGACCCAAGAAGCAACCAACGCGACCTGATGGGCTTTTGATGCTCATCAATCCCATTTTGCTGTTTAACGGTGTCAGTAGTTCCACTTTCAATTTCGATACCCAGACCCTTCTCGCCACTGTTAGTGTTCTCGCTGCAATTGCTCTCTCCTTGTTTCTTGGTTTTAAGGTAACAATTTTATGTTTCCATTCTGTTTCTTCTATTTTGGTTTCGGTCTGTTCATTGTAGTCTACGGGCATCACTCTATCACTCGGATGTTCGGTTCGGTTTTAACCTTACAGAGTTTCGGTTTATTAATGAAATTGAAGCTGAATCAGATTTTGAGTTGTGTAATAAGTTATACAGAAGATTCTCTTACGGCACCATTTACTGTGAGCTCATCTTTGGAGTTGCAAAATGGGATTTTACTCTTCTTTCGATACCACATGGTTTCTTTCTTTTCTTTTCTTCTCTCCCTCCAAGTCACTTTATGATGAGGCTTTTTCCAATATCTCGTTCGGAAAATGTGCATAAGCAACATGCATTGCACCCATAGACGCATTCAATGTTGCTTCCTATTTTTATACTGCTTCTGGTAACATTGTGGGTCAACGTTGATTCTCCTGCTGCTAATGTGATAAGGATTTTACAGGGGGATCCTGTGCCTTGTGAGCGTTGTGGCGGCAACGGTAATGATCTTTCTGTATTTCGACTTCAGATTGCTGTGCGTTACTCACAATGGGCATTTTCTGTTTTCAAATGTTGTGTAAATTTTACTAGACATCAATTAGTGCAGTATGAATTTCCAATAAAAGTCATTGCTAATTACAATCAAAGGATTTGTTTATGTTGGTAAGAGCTGACTACCACCAAGAACTATGTGGTCTATGTATACTAGATACATGGAAATATTGTTGCTCTGAACCTCGACTCCCTTGTAGTCTCCTTCAGTTTTCTCTCCATGCTTCTTTGATCTGCGCCAAAATCTGGATGAAGAGCAATTTTCAAATTTTGATGCTGATGACATGTGATGTTCCAATTTCTCTTTGCTGAAGACATTTGAATTATTCTTTTTAACTCATACTTTTGAAGTGTAGGGAATACAAATAACGGGAAACTTACTCTGACTGAATTCATTCTAAAATTTATTTTTCCTTGTAATGTCTCAAATCAATGCTATCTATCGACAGTGATGGACCGCGGAGCCCTTTTGCCACTTCTAGTTATTACCTTATGGGTTCTCTTAGTGAATGATCTATTTTGAAAGGTTAAATGTTAATAGAGTAATATGATTTATTTATGGTGTCAACTTCATTTAGCTGAATAAGATCTGTTGTTGCTGTTTTCCCTAGCTATCATTTTGTTTCGTTTTCTTTTCCCTGTCTCTGCTGTTACCTCCTTTTGATAAAACTGTCGTCCAGCTTATGGATATGGACAGAATTGCGATAGGTTACTGTGAAAGAAGACAGTCACCACTTTTATCAAATATTAAATCTTACTTCATTTTCGTTCATTGTCCTCTCAATTCGTTTCTTATTCCATTGAAAACAAGTGCTTCTCAATTATTTGGATTTATTCTTCAATCCTCGTTAAGTTGAACTTGTTCTGTTTTGGATACTGATGAAAGTAACATATTGTTGTACTGTTTTTGTTAAGCAGGCGGAACAAAATGCATTTTTTGCAACAATGGTAAGATGGAGCAAGGTAATGGGTTAATTGACTGCAGAGTATGCAAGGGTGCAGGTATTTCTTCCTGGTCTTTTTGAACATACAAAACTATTTTGTTTTGGATTCTAAAATGCTTTGCGGGTGCCTGCCAAAATTATCTTTATTTGCATCCTTCAATTAATGAATTATTTTTAGTAGTATGTCCTCTTTGGCGACCTTCATGAGTACCTCTGTTTTCTTTTGGTTGTGTGAACACCAGCAGTTGATTACTAGAGATGTTGATAGGTCTTTTTCTGACCATATTATGGCACTTTCTTTTATTTAAAGACAAATTTATTAAAAAGATAAAAAGAGTACATAAAAGGCCGGCCCATCATAACTGGAAAATCTGAGCTAAGCCCAAATCAACCAAACAATTCGGCCGGCCCAGAACAACAGAACAGGAAACAAGACTAAGCAAACTATAGCATAAGAAACTAAATTGAATTATCAGTTTTCTAGTCAATCTGTGAACTTGGAATACAATTATGAATAATTTGTCTCAATTAATAAAATGCTAAGCTTAATACATTATATAGAGTAGTTTACTCAGACATCCTGTGAATTTTACTCAGATTATACAAACTTCTCATTTTATTTCAAAACTCACATAGAAGTATCCTAAAAATAAAATGTATTACAGAGCTGCCCTGAGTTTTTCAAACACACACAAACCTTTCATCTATTTTCAAAATTTACAAACTTTCTCTTAAAATAAAGAATACAATTTTCAAAAGTTTTCCTGAATTTTGATGAAATTATACTGACTTAGGAGAAGTTTGTCTGTGTTTTGAAAATTAAGTGATGATACGTGTAGTTTCACCAAAATTTAAGAGATGCTATCGTAATCTAATGTTAGGGGATGTTCATGTAAGCCTTAGAAAAAGAATGAGGGTATGCGTAGGTTTAATAAAATTCATGGGAAGCTTGTGTTATTGTTTTAAGGAGGAGGAGGAGGAGGAGGAGGTATTGATGTAATCTTATCAAACCACTGTGAAGTTATGTGTAGTCTACTCATTTGTTCGATTATGGAATTAGTGCTTAATTTCCACTATATAGGATTTGTTTGCATTAATTTGGTCGCCTTAAAACAATTCTCTGTTTTTTTTTTGGGTTATTATTTTTATTTTATTGGTTTATTTGTTGTATCTATTGAAAAGCTTTACAGTTATAAATATATATAAATCTGTTTATATATCTCAATGCTTGATTTTCATCTCATAGGATTGATACTTTGCAAGAAATGTGGAGGTTCAGGATACTCCAGAAGGCTATGAGCTGTGAGTTCTCTGTTCTTATTGAGGCCAATCTGTTCTGAAATTTATAAGATCTCATAACCATCTGTTCCTGATATCTTTGTCTATGGACCATTGCACTGTCCTCCTTCATTTGTCCTCTCTATTGTATAAAATTGAAGCCTCAAAAGCAAGTCAAATTTTGATCTTTTTATTTGTTCCCATGATAATATATTTGGATCCTCTGTCTTTCCCCCCTCATTTTGTCTCAGTTTTAATTTTTGACCGTTGTGATAGTATTATAGCTCATATGGCATCCAGTGATCCCTCAATGGAGATTGTGGGATCGAATTCTGACCTAGAGGAGAAGCGTGTTGGGAGAGTCCCCTTCCCTTTGTTTTGACTATTAAATTGATATATTTGACGGTCCGGAATCACAGCTCCAGCCAAAGTTATGTAACTTGTATTGCAAGCTAACTTTTTTTGCTGCAAAAAAAAACCCTTAGATCTTTTTTATTTTTTTTAAAACTATGGGATTTAATGGGTGAGAATTAAAATATCAAATAGTACATATGGGAGTTCAATAAATTCATTTAAGTTCAACTTCTCAAATATCATGCGGGTATAATGTCCAAACGACATAAGTTTATGCTATTTATTCACAAATAATATATAGGGTCTGATCAAGTTTCAATTTTTTTAACTATTCCCAATTGAAAAGCCCTTGTTAGGTTTCAATATGTTTTAATTAGACTCAAAGCCTCTCTCTTTTCAGAAAGTTTCCTTTTTAGAACTTTTGTAGAACTGACTTATTTTAAAACATGGATTGAATTTTGGTAACTGAAAATAAGATTACTGACCTATTTTCAAGTGAGGTTCATTTTAGCCATTTTTTAGTATTCCTATTTTCAATTACCGACAATCTTAATCGAACTATTGAATAATTAAATAAGTTAATTTATTTAAGGAATTTTACATTCATCTTAGGTGCTGTAAAAGACTTTTGTGGAGAGAAAAACATGTCGACAAATTTTTTGGGGGACAACCGCCGGACTTCAACGATCTAACGGCTATTGGAATCCCCTCTGGGCGTCTGGCCACCGGGAGTATTTTTTGATAAAAGAGAATTTTTTTAATTACAATTAAGTATCATGTTCTTTAGTTAAAATTTCAATAATTCTACGTTTTATTCTTTCCTTGTGTAGCCTCATTTGTCATCTTTTGTCTAAATCAGTTGTCCAAACGTTGGCCAAAAAACAGCAGTTAATAAGAATATGGGAAAATGAATATAAAGAATATTACTAAACTCAATTCACTTTGGTTTTAAATTATATGAAAATAGAATTTAGTTGAGAAAATTGGGGATGAATCCCTCGTTAATAAATTAATTGACATGCAGCCCCTACAAATTTTTCAAATATTAATTTAAATGTATGGACAAAATTATGCCGCATCCAAGCGTAAAGCATGATAATGCATATCAAATGTGAGCCTACACAGCTTTTCATCAGAAAGCTCTCGATGGAAGCGGCTCAGCAGAAGTAATTTCAACAGAAATTACAAATCCTTCACATTTAACGATAATCTTCAAATTACTGACTAATCAAAAGACAATGAAGTCAATCAGGGTCAAAGAAGCATAAAAATATCTGTTGCTTCCAAGTAACATTAGCCGTTTAGTGCAATAGTAATTATAATATTAGCCATATCACTTCTAGTTATAGAGTGAGGACACAGATCAATGCTGTTGCAGGGCCATTCACTGGATTTTCAGCGTTTTGTGGGCTATGAATAAATTAGTAATTGGAGTCGTCAAAAGTAGAGGAAGTCTACTTTCAATGCCTGCCAAATGATAAAAATGTCTTTGGGCATCTTTTTTTTTGGTTGAGCTATCAAATTATTCAATATAAATATAACTGTAAAAATATTTTTACAGCTCAATATTACACTATGGACTCGTTAAAAAGGGAAACAAAAAGAAGAGAAGAAAGAAAAATTCTCTGCATACCATACTTCTACTGAAGAAATCAGAAGAAAACAACTAACCTATTTTCCCCCCTTTCCAATTGTCAGATTCAGTACTGAAGAAATGATACTGGACAGAACAGTAGTAAAAATTTGTATGCTAACAAGAGTTCTGAAGAGACTGTCAAGTCTCCCTTTCTAGATTACAGAAACCTGTCTCTGCTACACCACTTGCAGCACTCACTTAGGCTCTAGCAACTCCAGCTGAACAAAACCAGGAAGCAACCAAGGAAAATGATAAATAGAGTCAACCAACTATACCCTGTATACACTCGCTAATCCAAAAATCTTATGTACTGTTACAAAGCACTGATGACGATGACGATGATGATCAATGCCCTAAACTTGAAGAACCTCCATATAAAAACCGAAGCAATAAATAGCTCATGGTGCTGCGATCGGGAAGATACTAAGTGTTGAAGAGTAATGCCACTCCATTGACAGAATGAATAAATACCACAATAAACATAAAATCCTGCAGTCACCAACTCAAATGCTGATTTCACTTGGTTGCCTACACAGAGTAGCCTTTGATATCTCCATTGTTTTTACAAACACCTGGGAGTAGAAGAATATGCCAAATTCATCCCAGGCAAGATGGCAATTGATTTCCTAATTATAAATCTTTACTGGCTTCTCATAAGTGTGTCGACTCTGAAACAAAAAAACCATGAAATTTCAAATGAAGCAAATCAAAACTCGTTGTAGGCACAGTGATGACAAGCACAGCGCAGTTAAATATCATAATTTCCATATGAAATCTGCCCTTGCCATTGACTAACTTACCTGGTTAACTGCGTATCTTTTAGGAGCATTGTCAGTATGCTCCAAGCCAAGATACTGCTCCCAAGCTCCATAAACATCTCTTCTCTATCACATCACAATTTAGAAAGGAAAAAAAAAAAACAAGTAGAGATAAATTTATGAAAACCAATAAGCATTTTATATTGATTGAAGCAATAAAACACTGGAGTTAAGAAAATTACGCACCTGAAAACGACTGGATACAATGTCAGAGTCCTGAAGATATTCTGGACGCCCTAGAGAAAGGAAAGCAAACTTCCACTGGCCAAATAAAAACATACGCAGTTAGGCAAAGAACTTAATATTTACTAATCACTGTCCAGTCCATAAACATCTATCATTCAAACAAAGGAAAAAAGGACCCCCAAAAGTTCAGAAATACCTTGGCAAACTCCTCATCTGAAACTTGTAGTTTTTTCTGTATTCTCTCTTTGATATCAGCCAAAGTCTCACCTTCATGTATGACCAAGAAAAAAGGATCCCCAAAGTTCTGAATTTGCTGTAAATTTCAGAGGAAATACAAGTACAGAATTTGTGCAATTCAATCAATGCCAGCATGCCGTATCAAAGAGATTAGTATATTTAGAAATTAACACTAGAATAACGAATCAGCAAGAACCATTTACCATTTGGTTCTGAGCTGTATCCTTATTGAAATGGTATACATGAATTAAGCGATCATGGGGACCAAGATTTTTCTCCTCTTCTGGAATCTGTAACACTCATGATGTAATAAACAAATAAATATTCTGCAATACAAGAATTAAAAGTTCTAAAAGAAAATAACATGTTTTTTGTTAATTCTATGAAGAAAATAACAATCTGGTGTTATCATTGCACACGTAACAGCAGGAATGTTTGTAGTTACTTTTACCTCCTCTGCTCTCAATGTCCAGTACTGGTCATTGATGTTCTCAATCTTTTCACTGGGAGGAAAGACCTGCACAAACACACATGCACGATGACATGAACATGCTTGAACAATATGCACTTTTGTTTAATAGACAGATAGTTAACAGCATCAGCAACAGAAAACATGAGAACCATAGAGTATTTAATTTAGTAATGCTATACCTAATTCTCCGATTAACTATTATAATTACTATTTTCAATATTTCTAGCAAACATACAGATCCCAATAGCAGTTCGACCGCACACCTTGTATATCTTGTGATAGAAAACTTCCAGCAACCTAAGCTCTGCATTAGGATGAGACAACTCCACCTGTAAAAATGCAAAAACTAAAAGCAGTAAATGGACTGAAAATAAAAAATTACATGAAAAATGACACTTGCACAAAATTGGATTCACGCTGAGCTCTATCCTAGTTCGTGCTGTCCTGAAAAAAATTTTGCCTAGTTAAAGTTGGATGAAGCCATGCATGTGGATAGTGTGCACTTGTGACAGGAAAGCTGTGTAGGTAGCATTACTCTATTATTTACATGTACATTGTTGGTAATTAGCCAAAGAACTACTAAGTCACCTTTGTTTTAAGATCATCAAGGACATCACCCACAGTGCTCTGCTTCGGAAGTCTGATGGTATGAATAACAACCTGATTCAACAATATAGAGACGTAACAATTTGTCATGAAAAAATAATTACGAGAACCAGAAGAAAATCATGATGCCATACTCACTTCATCTTTAGTGGCATGATGAAATGCAACTTTCAGAGTTTTCAAACCTTGTAATTCTGGCAGAGGGATGTCAAGCACTTCATAGTATAATATATCTGAAGTCTGACAAAAAATATGCAATAAGAGAGGTATAAATGCCTTGTCTTTCTGTAGCATATATTCCAATAGATTGAACACTAACTACCTGGTTGTAGTGGACCAGCATATCAGACAAATGATCCACCCCTCGGTACTTAATAGCCTGGGGTTTTGGTTGCTGGGAGTAACAGTTGTGTGGGGTTAGCCTAATTTTAGATGGATCATCCAATCCAAGTTGCTGAGCTAATCTCTCCACAACATCATCATATGTATAGAGCCTTGACCTAGAATTCAATATATGGAGTGCAAGCTAAGGATGCTATGCTTAAAATACGACACAATAGATTCCAACCCAATGTTACTTACATCTCTAGGCAGAAGTCGTCTTCCTTAGGTTTATCCAAAGATCGAAAGTGAACAACCTATACATAAATAGGGATTGACAATTTCAGTTGCTGGCTTACCATCTCTAAATTTACAGAAGATAAAAGTTCAAAGATCCTGAAGAAAAAGGATTGCGATCTTTAACTAGATACATAAATTAATAATCAAGACTTCTTAGTGAAAACCACCAACAAGCACAAGCGCACACAGAAAGGAAAACAGTACAAACAAAAAACGTGAAGGCACAGCCAGCAGAACGTGAATCTAGGCAAGATTCATGGCCAAATCACGTCAAACTTAAAACCACAATTGCATATATAACCCAA